ACACACACACACACACACACACACACACACACACACACACCCCATATGCTCAGCATCATTATACCAGCAGTTACTACTTAGAGTTGCTAAGTAAAATTGCCTACCTGGGTCACCAGGTATTATTCACACATTCATTCATTTTATCAAAACATTTAAGATTAGCATACAGTTTAGAAGACCTCAACCAGCAAGTTCCATGTGGTCTTTCAAAACTCTAAGGTTGTATTGTGTAATATCAAGTAAACAGCCAAAATGTGTTTAAATTTGGAGTCAGCCAAAATCATTTTAAGAGCTGGCTCTCCAATTTATGGTATGAACTTAGGGATTGCACTTGATTGCTTTTTAATCTTAGTTTCCTATCTGTGATAAAAGATATTATTTCAAAGGATTATTTTGAAATTTAAATAAACAGATTTCACATAGATAGGTATTAGCATGAATACATTAGTTTCCATCTCTTCCCCCAGTAATCTATTTTGGATTTTCCAAAATAACCTCTAAATATGGTCCAGAATACCAGAGTCACAAAATTAAGCATAAACTCCTTCAACCTACTCCTTTTTTCCCCCAAAAAAGATGTTCCTTAGTCTAGTCAACTTAATTCCTGAAGCCCAAAAATGAAATTATTTGCCTCAGGACAAAGAAATAAATGAAATCAGAAAGGTCATAGGGTAACCATTCACTCAAGTTAGGATTTGTCTTGAAATTTTCCATATGGGCAAAATTCTGGGAGGAATTTTGAAATGGCAAGTGAATAGATCATGTTCAGAGAGGAAAGTGTTCCAAAAGCATGAGGTACCATAAAGGTGGGAGTGGGTAAATAGCAGCAAGTTGTAAATTCTCTCCTGACTGATGAAACAAGATTGTATGGCGGCAGAAAAAAGGTCAGTAAATTTGTCCAGAATAGTCTGGTATAGGATAGAATACAGTGTTTCATGTCTAGCAATAAGGAGTCTAGACAGGCCTACATTTATTCATATACAGCATATGTTCTACTAGACATGAGGTAGTAGGTAGAGCCACCATAAAGATCACGAAGAGTACAGGGAAAAGGAAAACTTCAGTAAACTGGACCTGAGAGAGAAAGATAAGAGACATACTTTTTTTCCTTTGCATTATTTAAGTAGCTGGAAGTAATTTAGTAAAACAAGATATCTCATCACCAATGTGATGTCTATAGTACAGGTGGTACCCTAGAAACAAAATAACACAGCAGCATGGTGGGAGGTCCAACAGCTGGAGCAGAATAAGGAGAAATCCAACCGTAGATTATAAAATCCAGAGACAAAATTGGCACTGAAAAAACACCCATGGACAGAAAGATACACTTTGGACTAGGTTGCTGTTCTAGGACAGGAGAGGGCAAGGGAAGGAAACCTCCAGTGGGGGTTGGGAGGCATGGGAAAGAGATGGTGAAAAAAAGGACACAGAATAGGAACTAAGACATTAAGAAAATTAAAGCACATGAAAGAGGGTGGGGAGATCTTTGGATTACAGAACTTTGCCTCAGTACATGGGGTGAAGGCCAAAACTATGACTCACAACCAGCCCCACCCAATTCTGCTTCAAAAACATTGATTGGTATAGAAATGGGCCAAAAGTGAGCCTGAGGATCCAATTTAGAGGATTTGGGAAAGAAATGGGAAAATAACAAAAGAATTAAAGCCCCCCCAGTTTACTTTGTACTTAAATCAGGAGTAGGGTACACCAATAAATACAGTGCTTCCTAACTTTTTTGATCAAGATTCACAGTAATAAATACTTTTTACCTAATACCAACACACAAATAACACATCTACTCTTTATGGTGTTCCAACTGCTAGTAGGTTGCAGAACTAAGACTCAAATCAGTGCCTGTTTCCAAACTTTATGCAGGAAAATTGCTGTCCTGTTTTTCAAAGAGTGTGAAATCAGATCAAAGAGTGGGTGGTGACTATTTTAAAAGGAGAAATAGAAAACGGGGAATATGGCAGGTAGTACACACAGTCACAGCTTCCTGAAACTTTTGATTCGCTTTTATGTATGTAGGTGTATGCTAAGGTCGCAATGCAGAAATGTTCCTTTTTGTTCACTGTCCAAAGTTTGGAAAACACAGACATAACATACACTCTATACCCTTAAGGAATGGATATTAAATATTAACAGCTGTCTACACACAGTCGGAAGGGGAAGTGAGCTAATTATGGTACAGGGAGAGAGTCTTCACAGAAGTTAACTTACTCCCAAGTGACTTAGGAGGAAACAGACTCAGTCACACTGCCAAGTTAGTGGCAGGCTGAGATTGGATCGTCCGCGTCACCACCCCAGGACGCACTAATATACTCCAAACACGGCTCGCAAATCCATGTTGAGAGCCTGCCAGTCACCGTTCGAGGTAAGCGCGGCCATTGCCTTAATAGGCCCGGGATGATCCCTGAAGCAAGAGGGTCAAGCCCCTTCGACTCGCTGGGTTCTCATTGGGAACCCAGCTGCCCAGGTTCGCTGCGCGGTTGAGAATGGTCGAGATCTCGATACACACGACACGCGTGGCTTGGCCCTTCCGAGCCACTATCCCCAACCCTAGTAGCGTCATTCTCGCGACAGGAACGGCTGGAACCTAGATCTCGTCACTGACCCAGTTTCCGCTCCCCGAGAGGGGCCCAGCCCAGCGCGGGCCTGGACAGTACCTGAGACCGGAGGAGCCTCCGCCATCCTGTGCCGCAGCACTAGAGAGAGCCCCGTAGCCCAGCGAGTGCCGTCACCTGGTCACGTGCCCTGGACTTCCGGCGCCTCCAGAATGTCCGCACCCGCGCGCCCGGGATAAGTCCTCCGAGGTTGCGCGTACTGAATCAAATGCGCGTCCGTGACGTCAGACAGTCGCGCCAGTCACTAGCCTGACGGGAGAGGAAAGCGGCGAGGATAGCGCGTTTGAACAGCGGTTCGCGCTATCGCAAATTTCCTTTTTTTGAGATTCACGGTTTTCTCCTGCCGTCATGCCATGCCACCCAACCGATTTCACTTGACTTTCTGGGCCCAGACATCACTTTTCTGGAGTAGTTCAGCTAGGGGTTTAAAAAATAGATACAACCGAGTCGTCAAAAGTATTTGGGAGAAAGTCTTAAATTCTAAATGGTAATATACAATGAACGCCTACAAATCAGTTGGAAAATGATAAGCCATAAAGATGACATCAAAAAATATAGAAGAACACTTAACATGAGGGAGTCCATGGTCACTTGAAACACAGTTTTAAATTAGTGTGTGGCGTTCTCTCGGGTCCTTGTTTTTAGGATGACCAAGAAAAGAAAGGATTGGTTGTGTCTAGAAGGGTGGGGGCCACTTTCAGCCTGTTTGCTATCTCAGGTGCTGTCCTTGCGTGTAGGTGCTTCCCAAGCTTTATGTACCATTACTGTGGGAGTTGTGCTATTCACAACAAAGTAGTCAGGAATTGTTCCTGTGAAGCTGGTAGGGACAGAACACCCTAATTTTAGACCACCGGGTGCTGTCCCACGACCTGTGTCAAGGCCCATGGCCCATATAAATGAGCTAAGTCATTAAGTGTTGTGGGGAGATGATCAGGGGTAAAGCCTGAATTGGGGGAGGGGCGGGTTTTAGTGAAAGAATTCACCAGAAACAGAATGGAGAACAGAACAGGTGGATTTGTTGAAATACACTACTAAAGGGAAGCAGCAGATGAGATGGGCGAAGTCTGCATCCTAAAGAGGATTTAAGGCTCTCTTAACACACCTTGTTTTTGCAGGCTTTCTAACTTGGGACACAAGTTTACACCAGTCACCTGCGGGGACGTCTGGGCTCTGGCATTGGTCTTTGACACAGAAACACGTGCTGGCTCTGCTACTGCATTCCTGGAGTGGGGCTGGCTTTTCTGGTCATGTGATGGGTTTTATGGTCTTGTCCCCAAGGCAGCCTTATCCACTGTATTATCTATTCCAGCCTCTCAAATCTGACTACTGGGCCAGGAGTGGGGGACTTAGTTTTCAACCTTATTCAGTTGTACCCTGGCATTAAGTACTGGAAGACCAGCTGTCCTCTGGGAAAAAGTAAAATGGAAATTGTTCTTTATACAACATGTTTGAGTGTATTGGTTGCCAGAATGGGGGTTGTGTGTAGTATAGATTGTAACTATATAATGCCAAGTAGAGTGGGCTTAACTTATCCATGTAAAATAAACCTTTACTTTTATATTTGTAAAATAAAATATGTGTAATGTTGTTTTGTTGTTGGGGGAAAAAAAGCCTGAAGGCAATTAGTGGAAAAATAAATGGGCAAAAAATTATGAGATGGCCTCAGTATTAAAGAAATACAGATTTTTAAAATAACATCTTTGTTTTTCCAGAAGTTAAAATATAGCCAAGGTGTCTCAGAGATCATTGTTCTTAGGTATAACAATTCTTTCTTACAGCCTAATCCCAAAGAAAATCAGAAGTTCATTCTGAGCATATTAACCTGCCTCAATTCAACATCTTGGAAAACTTTAGGAACACTTCATTATGTTTGAAAATTAACCCAGACCTTGGTCACAAAGCCAGGAATCTTGCTCAAGACTGTTGTGGAATTTAGTGGGAAAACTCTTGCAAACTTTTAAGTGGCTTCTCGGGCCTGCAAGTTGCCTCATATGACTGGGTCTCAAATACAAATACAGTAACTATCCTTAATTTCCCAAGCACAGCAACACCAGGTGTAGTATTTAATAAAGTTTTAATGAAGACTTGAGAATTACAAAGGCCAATTTAGAGAGCTGTTTATAATTGACATTATAATGGACATTAATACTCCCAGAAGCTCAGACTTCACCTCACATCTCTACTGAGGCCTGTTTCTGGATTTAGGGGTTCATGTCTTACAAGCAGCAAGGTGTTAACTCAGTATTTACCAAAGGAAATCTCCAGGAATCTTCTCACCAACCCTCTGAACCCAGAAACTAGAAGAAGTACTTACCTACCTTCCTCTTTATCCAAGGTTTTTCTGAGGTGACTCAATGTGAGTATTCCCTTCAAGGAAAAGTCATACCTCCACTCAAAAAGGTTATTGCTATTGCCTAAATAAGACAATCACAATAATTAACAGAATATTTCCTCTACCCTACCCAATTCAATCACTATTATAAGGAAGTAAAAATCCATTCAGGAAGTGTTGCACAAACCACTGTCCATTCT